ATGAGCACCCACTTCTTTACTATTACCACTAGCTTGAAGTTAAGTTTGCTCAGTTATCAATTCTAGTAGCTCTTAACTTTAGTACACACTTCACTAAATAGTTTACCTTGGTAGTAGAGTAATTTGTTTTGAAAAATATTATTCACTTCTACATGAGCAGATATGATGTATAGCTCAAATAGTTTATGGCTAAAATGACTACTCATCACCCTCGTGTTTTTTACTACCAAGTAGAGAACAAGAACCAACTAACAGATTTTCATCTTCCTCTTAGGTTCTGTGCACCTCATTAATCATTTTAACTTATGGCTAAGCTAACTAGTTTGCAACTCAGTAACATTTTAACTTTCAGCTAAATTGTACATTATACCTAACTAGCTTGATTTAGTTTGTCTCTGTGTACTTGCTTACTATATCCATAACATTTTCCATTAAATACTTTAAAGTTATTGGAAAATCTTATCTTATTCAGTCCATTCACAGCTATACGTGTCTTTAAACACTAGTGTAGATCTTTTTCCCTTAACTATCGGGAGAATTGACATAGCTAGACTAATCAATTTTTGTCTATTGTATTAAACACACAAACCAGTTATGAACTCATACAAAATTAATAATATCACACATTAAATCAACTATATTGTAAAATTAAATTACTATGCACATTAAGTAATATTATAATCTCAATTAAAAGTAAGCACTTATATAAATAATATTAAACTCACATAAATAATATTATACCACATGATTAATTATATCACATAACTAATCTAAGAAATAATAATATTCAGGAGAAGACTTTGCTTTCTCAAAGTTTTGTGCCTCATTCTCCAATAAACATGCTAGAAAATCAGGACCAAAAGATGTAGACGTTCTAACCCACAAAAAAATGATATGCATTGATGTTATGAGCATAACCTATCAAAGGTTTTATGTTATCAAACGATCCATTCCACTACATAGTATGATAATGTCCGCTTTAGGATCGAACCCGCACGATTTTGTCATTGGGTTTTATCTTAAACGGTCTCATACCAATTGGAGATAACACCACTACATAAAATCACTTTACCCTTCCCTTACGTAGGTGATGTGGGACTGTGCACCTATAACTTGCTCAGTGTGACAGCATGTCAGTGCCTCTTGCACCCGCCCACAGCACACCTACCCACAAGGTTACCACATTATAGGTCCCACTTTAAGTTTCTTAGGAGTAGGAACTGCGAACTTAGTTAGACACCCCCACACTTCTAGAATTTATAGGAAGGTTTTTTGACCTTTCCATAATTCATTTGATGTCACATTAGTTTCTTTTGAGGTATTTTATTGATAACATAATTTGCGGAAAGCAAAACTTTCCCTCACAAATTTTAAGTTAAACCAGAACTTGTCAATATAGCATTCATCATTTCTTCGTAAATGATGCCATGTTCTGAATAAATATTATCAAATGATGATTCGTATTCACGAACTCTATCATTTCTTAACACCTTGTCAAGTTGATTATCAACCTCATTTTTGTAATGTTTAAACATTTCTAAGGCTTTATCTTTTCTTCGTAACAGATATAGATAGCATCATCTTGTGCAATCATTGATAAAAAGAATGAAATACCTTTTTCTATCTATTGTTGGCACAAATTTAAGATAATATAATATACTACATTATATTATATTACAAAATTAAAATAATTCAACCAATATTGAATTATATAAATAATTCAATAATTTACTAATATAATATAATATGCTTCAATTTCACATAATATTGAATATATCAATATTTAGCATATTATCATATAATAATGTATATAACATTATTTTATTATATCTCATTTGTTAGTATAATTTCTACTTGTTTATATCTTAAATAGAAGCATATAATAAAACATACGCAATGAGTGATTCTGTTTTAAGACTGTTGGAAAGATATATGCTTCATGTGACATTTAAGATATAATAAACATTATACTAATATGTCATGTGATAATTAACAATACGCTAAGAAATCATTAATTAAATATGCAACTCTATATTTAATTAAATATGCAAAATAAAGTAATAAAATAATAATAATATACAAGGAATGAACCTGGAATGAGGCTAGTATTGGATACTATGTCCTTAAGACAGATTCGCTCCGCTATGGTGCTAACGGACTCAGTGGCGTCTATTTCCCAAGATACAACGGTTTACAGCCACCAGTAACAGCACTATAAACTCGTGGATACGGCGAACCTCCTCTGTGTAATACTCTCTCTGACTCAAAAATACATCTATACTATATAAATTCTGAATTGGGTGCAGTCCGAACCAAATGATTCGAACCAATTTTAATATGGTTCGATGAAATCGAATTAGGGTCTAAGTGGTTCGGACCACTTAACCTATGGTTTGAACCCACTTGGGTTGGGTTCAAGTCTAGAGAGGGAGATAGAAGAAATTGAAAAATAAATAAATTGCAAATGATCCAAAATGGGATATTTATAGGCAACAACGTACCTTTTTCGGATTAGGTGCAACTCTTTAGAAAAAACTAAAAAGTAGTTTTTAATTAATGTGCCTTTTCGGATTGGGTGTGTCTCTTCATCAGTGGACACATCCACTCCAATTGATTGCAATGGTTCACATGGTATCTGTTCACCAATAGACACATCCACTCCAATAGGTTGCAATGGTTCACATGAATAGTTTTGTCTGTTGGTTTTGAGTTGCAACCCTTTAGAAACAGATGCAACTCTTTGAAAAACATATGCAACCCTTTAGAAATAGATGCAACGCTTTGAAAAAAAAACAAACTTTTAATTAAAATAAAAAAACTAACCACCCATTTAAATAGCCCAACCCAAAATTAAAGGCCAAATCCAAGATTCCATTTAGTAAAAAAAAATAATTGGACTTTACAATTAGGCCCAAGCAATTAGGCCCAAGCCCAAGCCCAAATTTGGCTTATTTAAATTTCAATTAGTTTCAACATTTTTTCCATGTGGGACAAACACTTCCCACACTTTGTATACCCATTAAGGCTTATCAAAACACCACATTTTGGAGCTAATTTCTCATTCACCCGAAAACGGATTTGAGAAAGTAAATATATCACGTTCATCTCCTTGCGGAGATAAACACGCTCATCTAGAGATCCGCAAAAAAATATTAGCGGAATCTATCCTAAACCTCATCCAAAGTTTATGTTTTTAACGCCTCCATTTCCAACAGTGTTGTGGTGTGATTGGGAGAGGTGGTCGTGGCAGTGGGGGAATAGGTGGGTGGTGGTGACGGACCGAAAGTGGTAGAAATGGACATACTTAAAGTTTAATCAGATTAAAAAAATTATTATTATTATTTTTTAAAAAAAGTATTCAATTTAGTCATTTAATCATTAATGGCTATTGGCTAATACCTAAAATAACTATTACTATTGTTTCAATTAGCTGTAGGATTAGATCTTAAGGCAATACCAAAAAATAAGTATATTGTTTCTTACTCACTCGGCAGCAATTATAATAATTGTGTAATCCATTGCAAATAAGTTTATGATAAAAATTGTTACCAAAATTGTAATCATTGTATAAAAATTGTATAATCCATTGCAAATAAGTTTAGATTTGAATTTTTGTCACTACAACTCTTATAAAATCCCTTTTTAAACCATCACGCGTGTGAAGTTTTTTTTCCGTTAAAATGTATACTAAAATACTAATAAAGGTTAAATATAAATTGGAAACTCAGGGGCCCATGGCACTCTCATTGTACGGAATAACATTTTATTTAATTAGTTATTAACTTATTATATATATATATATTTTATAATGGTGCCAAAAAGGTCAAATTGGTAAACTATATATCGCCGACACACAGTCACCTATGAACAACTCTAGTAAATCGAAGGGTTAATAATCGCGCGAACACATCTTAATCGGATATTTCTCCAAGTCTCCGTCTTGGCTGACAATTTCTGACATAGTAGCCACTTTGATGTTTCTCTGTTCACAAAAGCGCACACACATGGCGTCACTCTCTAGTAGAAACGTGGCTTAATAATTTGCCACGTCATCATATTTCATAAAACATCGATGTGGACATCCACGTGGATGGGCTCCCTTTGGCCAGCTAGAGGACAACTTTCCACATCAGCTAAAGGCGGCATATAGACAGGACGGTGACCGCGAGCATCGTCCGTCACCGTCGCATTAACTCTATTTTGTTGCATTTACACGTAGACGAGGCCATGGGGCCACAATTCTATCTACCCATAACGTGGTAGCATCTGATTCGTTCGTCTCATTTAATGCCACAACTGCGTCGGCAATTTACTCTTTCTTTCTCTAAATTCTACAACCCACCCGCGAGTAGAAATCGCATTTACTCGCTTTTACTGCCTGACACCTGTCTCACCAAAAAAAAATCCTATTTTTCATTTTTTCATTTAAGAAATTTGTCAATTACTTGAATGCCCTAACTTGTATTCTGATCATAAGACAACACACTACACATCCCTCACCCTTTGATTTGATTAATCATCCAGAAGGGTATGTATTTGCTCACTCAAAAAGGTAGGAAATTCCAATTGATGAAGTTACTATACATACATATATGATCAATCAGCCTTGGCATATCAATTAGACAATTGGGTTTATAGTTGAAGACTTGAAGTACATAGAACAGAGTGGCAGTGCTTTTGAGTGTAGGGATGATGCATCAGAGTATTGCATTCATTTGTCAAGGTCTGTTTGGTCACTAGGAAAATCCATAGCATGCAGAATATAAGGACTCCCTCAATAGGGTGGGGAACACCCTACCCCTAAAAGGGTGGGACAGTTGGAGAATTGCAAGAAAGGAGGTGTACTATTTACTTTCTTGTCATTTCAAAAAAATTGTCTTTTGTTGGACCTTCAACTTCAAGAAAATGGAGCCCCTAATTTCATGAGGACTGTTTTGTCCCCTCAATAGCTTTATCAGAGCTTCCCAAACCAGCATTGCACTACAAATTTTAGAGAAAACCAAAGGAAAAGAAAATTAATGAAAAAAAAAAAAGCTAGTAAATTCCAATTTAAAACTAGCATGTTCAAGATTTTAATATGGACCCCTCAAGCCTTCTATATATTTAAGCAAGCATACCCTATGTCATAGGTCATTCACATACTTAAAAGCATATCTATGTTCAAGCATATCTAAGTTCTTGAACAAAAAGAGAAATCAGAAGAGAACCCTCCCTCATTCTATTCACTACTTTAGGAACTCCAAATTTGTCAACTTTACCAGGTTTTTTTCTCCCCATCTCTTGTCTACAAAGTTTTTCTCCAAATGAGGCCTTCATTGTTAGTCTCTCTTCTACTTCTGTCCATTCTCTTTTATGAGGCTCAAGGTATGTATATATATCCATTAATTCCATAAGCATTTGAATTTGATCTTATTTTGACCTTTACATGATTTGGTGCTGATTTTAAATTCTTTGTTGTTTTGTGAAGGTATTCGCTTAAAGAAAGAATTTGCATCAATGGAGCTTCACAAAGTCCATGTGGGTAACCAATTTCTTCATGATCGATACTTCTATTTGATCATACTTTGAAATATTCTATTAAACTTGTGTCACAGATATATGCTTCCAAGTTTATATTTTGACAGTGAAAAACTTTTAATTTGGTGAGCGCAGGAAGGTAGCGTAATCAAAACAAGTAATGGTGGTGTGGGAGAGGTGATTCTCTGCAAAGATGGACAATGTTCAGGTACCATGAAGAAAAGAATTTCAAGGGTAACCAAGGAATCTCACCACTGGTTACCAAAAATTCATGAAGATTACTATGGACCTAGGCATCACACCCCTAATCACCATTAAATCTCTCTTAATTCACACTTCTTCAATTTCTTTCTTTCTTCTTCTTCTTCTTCTTCTTCTTCTTTTTTCCTCCCTCTAGCTTATTTCTCTCTCTTGTGCTTAACTATTAGTGCATGTTCTTTAGAAGCTAGAGCTGTATTCTTCTACAAAGTAATTTTGTAGCTTATCTAACTTGATAAGTCAATTCCACATTCATATATATATATATGGGAATTTTGTTATTAAAGTAATTTTTGCAATAAAGAAACATCTTCATGAAGAAGCTGCATATATATATATATATATATATATATGTGACCACTAAATTTCATGTCATATCTTAAATGGTTCTCTTTTATAATTTTCAGGAAACTCTAGAAAACTTATGACCAAGACAACTTCTAGCACTACCACTACTTCAAAGGTTGGTTTTTCATATATAATCAAAGACAACTTAATTTCCCACTTTTAGGGTTTAATTAAACTTCATGAACCACCTCATTTATCTTTATTCCCTTCTACGCTATACAGAATGACAAGAATGGAGGGAATAAACAACTGAGTTCTTCGTCGGTTTCTGAACACCGGGAGGCCACCTCCGAGCCATATCCGGACAGTTTAGACATAGCTGGGATGGATTATGCACTAGCAAGGAGAAAACCTCCAATACACAACTGAGAGTTAATGGAGATCGACAACTAAACATGAAAAGAAAATAGTATTTAGAAATTAAGATACAAATTAAGGGAATACAAGTTAGACAGCATTAAAGAAATGCTGCAGTGTTTTAGGGTTAGGAAGATTTTGTACATAATGTATTGGTATTTTTGTATTATATATTGTTTAATGGTTTAGTCATAAGTCGATCATATATAGGCTTTGTAACCCATATAATAATAATACTTGAAAATATCAGGACAGCATCAGTTCAATGCTTCTCTTTTCCCTTTAATGAATTTGCTTAATTTGTGCCTAATCCTTCTATGCCCAGAGAAATAAACCTCACGCATGAAATACTTACAATTTTGTAGTGCCGTGTAAATGTGAAGTTGATTAATTATGTGATCTTAATCATTCATTGATTAAAAGGCTACCTCAAAAAAGATTTACAGTGTCTCTATATATTTTGAAACTCTTCATTTCAAACACCCACCCACCATTACTGAGTAGTCCAATTTGAACAATTTTGAAGTAGAGATAGCTCACATTCCTCTCAAAAGACCAAAATTTTAGGTAATATCTTAAGTAAAGCCTACAAACTTGTGGTTGGATAAAAAAAAGCCTCTAATAATTTCCAAGATATACTAAAGAAAACACATATGGGAAACCAAATTAAAATGCCCGTCTTCAATGAAGTAGGTGTCCTGCATTTTGTGGCCAACACATTTTCTGTGTTTCTGCTCTCAGGGAAGGCCCATAAGGGGCTTTAGAAAGGGCCCACATGTCTCACTTATTTATTTCATTTTATGAATTGTCACCTTTACATGTGGGCTAACATGTTCTCTGTTGGATTAAATATAGTGGCCCAATGAGCCCATAATGTGGTCAGCGGCAAAATTGGGGATTTTATAGATACCATTTTCCTACTATATACTGCTTTATACATGCATGCACATGGAGTATATACTCCATTAAACATTCTTGTTGGTAGTTCATATAACCTCTCCTCTCTCAAAAATAGGTTAGACTGTGTTGGCATCAACTAGCACAGTGTAACTTGTACTACTAAATCACAACTCTACTGTAAGCAATTGATGCAATTACTTTGGGTTTGAATTGGGTAAACAACCAAGTTCAAGCACAAAGAAATGGAAGAGGAAATTGAAGTGATTGGAAATGCAACAGTTGAAAATTCATAAATGTTCTAGAGACAATAAGCGATAGATCGGGCAAATGATACATGAACTGCAAGAGCTCCTAATATGCACTATATACTTTTTAAATTGTTTAAGGTCTCATCACTACTCAAAATTTCAAAAAAAAACTGGATCATTCAATAATTTGTCAACTTTTAGTAGTGTAATTTGGCATTTTCCATTTTATAAAAGGCTTCTTGTAGATCTCGGTGCATTGTGAATGATGATGGATTTCCGCTTTCTCAGAAAGTAATATTATAGTAGATCTGTTTAGATTTTCATTTTTCAAAAAAAAAATGTAATATTTCAATTGTTTGATATATATATATATATATATATATATAGTTTCTTTCCTTTCTTCTTCTTTTTTTTTTTTTTTTTTTTTTTTTTTTTTTTGACACAGTTATAAGTTGTTTGCATGCATGAATAAGACTTTCCTCTGATCAAAACAAATACTGATAGTGTTTTGCAGGAAAAATATATTTGTACAAAATAAAAGAATTCAGGAAATATAGCTGAAAAATTGGACAAAAAAAAAGCAAAAAATAGGAAAAATCACAAATAAGATACCTTTAAAGCTTCCTTTTTAACAGATGCACTCTACTTTTAAAGTGAGATGATATTACTATCTCAAAATATAGTATGTAGAGTATTTTTTTGTCATTTATATTAAGAAAAATTACAAATGAGATAAGAGAGGACAATTGATTCGATTTGAAAAAAAAAAAAAAAAGAAGGAAGAAGAAGAAAAAAGTGCAAGTCAGAATTATTAATTGAAGCCATATAATAATAAGTTCATATGAAAATCTAGGATAAATTTTACATAATTAGGTAATGCTGGTTTTAGCAACAATAGGTAAGGAGGAAAATATCTTGTTTGACATCCTAGCTTGCATTCAAAGACGAGATGTGTATAACTTGTACAGTCTAATTCAAATCCAACTCCATTGTAGTTTAATTTTAGGGCTTTGTTAATCACAGTCACCTTGCGCGACTGTTACTTTATAGTCGTTTGTCCTATTAATATAGAAATCAGATTTCATTAAATGCATTAATTACTTAAGTTTCTATTTTAGTGGAACTCTACAAACATTACTTTTTTAGACAAATATACCATTTTAAATTATATAACCTTTCTTCTTCTCTCCCCTTTTAATCTATCCATATGGAAATGTGTGCATATGTTATATATATATATACACACACGTGTATATTTCATTTTGTTTTTATTTTTTATTTTTACAATTATCCTTCTTTAAATTTATTTTTTTAAAAAAAACAAATAATTCATTCACCAAAATAGTTGTAAAAAGAAATATACACGAGTGTATATATATATATAACTAATTTTGCTTTTTTTTTAAAAATCTTAGAATCTATCTTGTATATGGATTCATTTCTTGTTCTCTTTTATTTTTTATTATTATTTTTTCTTTTCGGATTTTGTTCTAACTCTTTTTTTTTTCTTCAGAATCCATCTCTTGAAGATGGATTATCCTAATTATAGTTTTTTTCCTTTTTCATAATTCATTCACATAGCAGTAGTTATTTTATATATATATACACACACACACAAGTACACATTTTCATATGGATATATATATATATATATATATATATATACACACACACACACAAGTACACATTTTCATATGGATAGATTAAAAGGGAAGAAAAGAAGAAATGTTAGATAATTTAAAAGGTGTATTTGTCTAAAAAAATAAATTTTGTAGAGTTTCACTAAAATAGATACTAAGTAATTAATGCATGTAATGCATTTTATGTGATCTGATTCATATATTAATAGGACAAATGATTGTAAAGTCACAGTCGTGCAAGACGACTGTGATTAGCAAAACCCTTAATTTTATATGAAAGCGACTGTGATTAGCAAAATCCTTAATTTTATATGAGGTTCAATAACACTTTTACAATTACAGTTAGATTGGTTTAAAAAATCACAATCTTAACTTATTTATAAATATTTTTATTATGTATATTGTATTATAATTAAAAATTAAAATATGAATAAATTTTCTTTAAAAAAAAATGTATACATGACATGTGTTTATAAATCAACCTTAATTTTGACTATCATCTCTCTTCCATATTAGTTGTTTCACTGACTTTTAGTAGACATGAAATTAATATTTTGTTTCTTTTTAAAATTATGAAGTTATACTTTTAAGTTTAAAAATTATTGAGTTTTGAGATTTTTTAAAAAATTTAAAAGGTAATTATAAAGAGGTATTGAAATTTATTTTGCTAAACTTTTGAAGCGAGATAGTTAATTTGGGATATCCTAAAAATAAAGAAAGAGAGGAGCAAATAAATGTCATAAGAAAATATGATCACTATATATATATTGTATTAGTTAAAAAATTAAAATATAAATAAACTTTTTTATAGTAAAAAAAATGTATGTGTTTATAAATCAATGTTGGAATTTGACTCAATAATAAATGTCATAAGAAAATATGAGCACAAGTTATTTATAAAATGACTTGATTTCCATAATATGAACTCATATATTAAATGCATTAATTGAAATTAATTATAAAAAATCCAAATTTTGAAAGAAAAAAAACAAGAAGAAGCTAAAATAAAAATAACATCCCTTGAATTTTCGAGCTTCACTCCTGTCTAATAAATCTCTCCCATCTGTAGCGGTACCTGAAACCAGGCGGCTAAGCTCATTATCTCTCAAAGTGAGTTTCGATACGATGCATCTCCAGCCTACACGTGCTGCCTCTTTTAGTCCTCGTATTTATATTCCCACGATTTCAGAACTCAATCCAACGGCTATAATTAGAGGCAAAATTACTCTCGAGCAACTCCGTAATATTTCCTTCCTCGTTCCTCAATTGCCACGGAGTGCTTCGTAGTGAAAGAGAGACAGATAGCTGTAGAGAGAGAGAGTATATATATTAAGACAGATTTAGAGAGAGAAAGGGAAAGAGAGAGAGAGAGAGAGAGCTGACTGTGCGTACTGGAGCGCCTTCTTGCTAGCCTCTCTATCGCTCTCTCTCTCTCTTGACGTTTCTTCTGGAAGATACGCTCTCTACAGCTCTTCTGATCTCAGGTTAATTCAATCCCTCGCCTCTCTGAGGGATTGAACAATCCATTTTTGTTACATAAAGGTTTTCTTGTAGATTTTGTTCAGCGATGTTCTTTTTTATGTATCTGTTGATGCTTTGCTGGTTCATAATTTGAATGCATTTGGTTTTTCTGTTCATCTCTGATTGACAAAACCCTAATTTCACCCAACTTTTAATTCCCTTCTTGCTCTGGAACATAGGAAATGCTTATATAATCAGATGTTTCTCTGTCTGTGGTGTTTATGTTGTGTTTGTGTAAGGATATAAAAGCTAACCTTACCCAAAAACGGATATGAAAACTAAGACAAAGTTGGAAATTCTATTCAGATTACTGTTAAGGGTTTTTTCCCCCTTCCTTTCTTTTGGGGACTGCTAGTCAAATTCTTCCACTCTTTGGTACGTTTTCTTTTTTACGTCTCTGATGATGCTTTGTTTGTTCATAACACCTAAGTTGGAAATTTATTACCTTAAAATGCCAATAGAATAAAAATATATATATATTTTATATTTTATATTTATATTTAAAAAGCCTAAATTTATTGCCAATCCCATTCAAGGATGCTTAGTCATCTGAAAGTTTTGGAATCTGCCAGCTTCAATAATTTCCTAATTGGGTGTGTCAGCGAAAACGGGATCTACTCTTGGATTCTAAGTTAATGGTTATTAAGAGGAAGGCCTTATCTGATGAATTGATTTGTAGTTGAGCTGTAATGGATCATCAATTTAATTTTTATTTTATTTTATTTTATTTTATAGATGACTGTTATTATGTTATATTTCAAATGCATTAGTTGATTTAACTAGTACGTGACATGGATTACGAAAATTTAGTTTATGTGATTAAATGTGAAGGCCTATCTTTCTAATTATGTATTAGCTAGTTACTGGTGATCCCTTATTTCCCATCATTCATCAATGGTGGTGTTGGAGTTGTTGAAAAATGCCTATGTTACTGTGCTTTCACTTTGTTCGAACTTCCAAAGTAATTCTAACTTGATATTCCAATTGGATTAGGGTATGGCAAAGTATGAAGGTTCTTATATGAGCAAAATGTGATTCCTTTAACATGTGAGAAAGTAATCCCCAATAGTCAGCAGTAGCAATTTTGCGATCTTCTGTTGGTAATATCATTACTATTTTATCATGAATTTACTGTCATTGTAGGTGGAAATTGATACTGTATCAGAGGTGCATAAAAGTGATTATTTTCCATAGTAAGCTAGGGATGCGTTACAGTTTTAGATACCACAGCTTAGATTACCATCACATGATAAGCGGATCGGCATGCAGTGGATGCAAAATCTTTGTTGACTAGTTGGCTTGTGATCCTATTATGAATCATTGGGACACTAGTTCACCTTTTCCTTCTTTTCCATTGGCTGGTCGCACTTCATTTCCATGAATTTTTTGCATCTGCTTAGGTGGATGTTTGATTCATGGAATCGTTCAGTGTGACTAAAAGTCTCAATATGATTAACATTACGAAAAGAAGCAACTTTATTAAAGCGAATCGCGTAATGAGGTGATGCCAACTCAAAATTTATGTTTTTAAGATGATTTTGCACTTGTTATATAAGTTTATGGTTTTTCTTCTCGTAGTGCATCATAATTCTTAATTTTTTGGCTGATACGAAATTTAAACACTTACCTATGTAGCAGAAGCTATAAAAAGAGAAGTACAAGATGCCCTCTTAGTTAGTGAAAGCAAAAACATATTAGAAAAGTTGAAGAGCTAAAATAACCATTCAAAAATTATAAAGAATGCTCAATGGGAGATAAGAATGATAAAAAGTTATTAATCCTCTCTTAGTTAGCACATTCTTGCAGAGTTGGCCTGCCTGTTTATCTATGTGGATAAACAAACCATCAAGAATGAGATGTCTAGATTGCATACGTCATATGTGACAATATCAGACTCTTGAGCTGCACAACCGGCACTGCTAGCCCAATCCTTTGTTAATGCATTAATGGGCAATGGAAGAGTTGAAAGGCATGAGAATTGCAGTCTACAAATCATATAGGTTGGGCAAAGCAGAAAATCTATGAAAATTCAGTAAGAAATGGAAATTATATATTGGAGAACAATAGAAACTTACAAAAAATTTGTATGAACTTTTTACGGGATTATTTTTGAAAGATGAGAGAAGAAGTTTGAGAATTACAGGAGAACTTCAATGAATTCTCAGTCACTTAGATTTAGGTTTGCTAGAGAATGAAATCCTTCGGTTGACTATCCTTTAGAAGCTTGAACAGAGTTAAATAATGAGTTTGATTTTGGTTCTCTTATCAACTACTTCATCATGGACTTGACTTCAATTAATATTTAATAGCCAGTCAGCACCTTTTGGGTATGCCTTCAATTTGAACACACACTGGAATCTAGATTTAAAAGTCTAAACATCGGAACAACTAAAAATGTTCCTGATGTTGTACTAAGACCAACCTTTATCATTTCTCTCATTTGTTTCTTTCGATGCCAAACCTAAGGACAACCTCATCCATTGTGACCATCTCTCTTCATCTTTCTATAAAATTACCAATAGGAAAATGATCGCTGGAGATTACTAATTTGATTCTATGTTATCCACATTGTTGATTATCTGGATGCTCTAATGAAAATTATGAGAATGGGGAAGTTTGTCAGTGCATTACAAAATTTCTCTAAGCAGGATAACACGTCTGATAATAAAAAAATAATAATAATAATAAATAATAATAATAATAATAATGATAAGGATAAGTGGTAAAAAAATAAAATTGATCCTTAATAGCTTCGGTAACATAGCCGAGTCATCTATATCTCTAATATATTTTTAACTTCAAAATCTGGAAGTCATGGAATGGACCTTTTGGCGAGGCTTCTTTAGGAAATGTGTACTTAAATCAAGCAACAGAGAACAATGATCTGAACCAGCAACAGTGAGGTGCGTGGCGCTTTCCAGTGGACTTTGGGAAAAGGCGTGACAAGCAATTCGGGTTACTTTCCATGAAGGATTAATAGTGCAAGAAGTTGTAAATTCGTAGTATTGCATTACAGTTAGACTGACCTTAGCTTCTTGGAACAAACCTTTGCCGAAATTAGGCCTTTAGACTTGATTCTGTATGTTTGGAAGGAAAAATTTAAGACTCAGTTTTTCATACTAGCTGCACCTCTATTTTTCCTTGTATATGTGTTTCTTAATTCTGTATTTGTTGGAGAGAGCATCTCACAAGGTTTTGAACTGGTTCTTTAAAGTTCTGTAGCTCCAAAAGCACACACCACCACCCCCCAACCCCACCCCCAAGAAAAAGTAAAAAAAAAAAAAAAGGAGCAAGACTAGTGGATACTAACCTTTTTGTCACTGAATTATTTATAGAAACTGGTGTGCAAGGAGAATGGGAAGTAATGGTGCTAATGAAATTTCCATGGGCCATGAGGCAGAAGGTTCTGAGACCACAATTGAGATAAAAATAAAAACATTGGATTCTCAAACTTACACTTTGCGTGTGAATAAAGAGGTAACTACTTATTTGCTTTTTCATTATTAATTCCTTGAACTCAGGGAAAAAATAATTTTGTATTATATATATCATTCATTGGTCATGCTAGGATTACTAGAAATAATATTTCTGTATGTTGGTTTTCTAGGAGTTTGAGTGGCTTTTGGACTAAAATCCTAGCCTTTATATGTTCCCATATTGCTTAGCGTGTTTGGTAGGCAGTTTCTGCTTGTGTATTAGGTTTATAATGTCTAAAATAGGCTTTATTGAGTTTTGAGCACTCTCTCTCTCTCTTTTATTCTCTATGATATTGTATCCCGTCTTCCTCTCTTCTCTTTTCTCTCTCTTGGAATTCTTCTCTCTCCTTAGATCTTAATTATCCTAGTTCTTATCTTCTTTTATTTCACTGTATATCTATTTTTCTTCTCTACTTCTCTCTACCTCTTATAATTGGTTTTTCCATCCATCTCTTCTCTTCCCCTTTCCTTACTTTGAAAGCCCTAGTGAAAACTGCATCGATTTGGAGAACTTAAAGACAAGTAGCATCAGTCTTTGACATGCAAAATTTATTCTCAAATCCAGCTGTTATGTAGTTAAGCATTTCCGTGATTTCTTATGTTTAGCTCTTACTCTGTCGAGTGACTAGTGAAGAACTTTTCATTGCACTCCTTGAGCCTTCGTGTATCTGATTGCTTGTGTCAGTTTACATCCGAAATGCTGTCCTTCAGAAATTAGTTTTAGTTTTCTTTGAGAAGAGTTATATGCATATATGCATGTGGCATCTATTCAGCATAACCTCAGTTGATAACTTTGGCACCTTGAAATCATATGGCTGGCAAGGATGTCTTTAGCAGATGTAATAGCTTGTTCATTTATATAGAAGCAATCTTTGGGTTTCATCTTTTGATTCCGGCTTTCTTAATGACATGCAGGTACCCGTGCCTGATCTAAAAGAACAGATTGCTTCTGTTACTGGTGTCTTGTCAGAACAACAACGTTTGATATGCCGTGGAAAAGTCTTAAAGGATGATCAGCTCCTCTCTGCATATCGTATCCTTTTTCTTGTTAGAATTTATATGCTGCGGATTATGGCAACATTTTGAATTGACTACCCTGCTTCACGATGGATGTTGCTATAGGAACTCTTGCTTTCCTGTTCTTTGTTATTTGTCATTTTGTACATCATTTTTAAATTCTACATGGACTGTTTCAACGTTATGCACTTTCTAGTTCCATGATGTCAATTAGCCCACATGCTACCCATCTTGTGCAACTATCTCAAGTTCTGTACCCATATTAGATTTTGTTTTACCATTTGTGTAGCATTTTCCTCAACAAGGACCATGTCATTCTTCCTCATTGGTGTAGTTGTTGATTGCCGTGGCACATAGTTAAGTCATTTTAATTTTTTTCCTAGTTTACTCACACACACGTCTCTTCTGAAACTTGAACTCCTAACCTCCCTTTGGGAAGTAAGAAGTTGATACCGCTAGGCCACTGGCCCGTTGGTGTTAAGTCATTTTAATTGAATTTTTACTCCTGTTATCTCCAATTTGTGCCACTTAAACCATTTCATGAATGTTTTCATACTAATCTTTGTCTTTGTTCTTTGTCTCAGCATTCTGCTCTTTTTTGTGCCATGACCTCACTTGACGTAGATGCTACCTATCTTTTGTTACTATCTCACCCGATATTAGTTTTTGTTTCTTTTCCTCAGCAAGGATCATGCCATTTCCTTAGCATTCTGCTCTTCCACTTCTGTACCTTGCTCTCCACTTGAAATTTTTATTATTATTCTATTTTACAAAAGAAATGACGCAATTACCTCTCAAAAGTGGAGTGAAAAAGTCATTTTTCTGATAATTGTGGGGTGTGAGAGTGCTTTTGAAGGACAATTGTGTTGTTTCTTTTTTAAGAAATGCAAGTGGAGTGCAAGGGAACAGAAGTTGAGTAAGAATAGTATTCTACACACAAAGAATATGCCCTAACTAAAAAGGAGAAAAAAAAAAAACAAGACTACCCTAACTAAAAAGGAGTGAAAGACAAGACTGCCCTTACTAGTAGAATAAATCCTCTTAACATTGTTGACATCATTTTACTAGTTTCCATTCTAATTGGCTGGTTCCTTATGTTTTAAGTCTGGGTGTAAGCTATTTGTTATATTAATTTACTACTTAACACAAATTAGATGTTGAAGATGGTCACACTTTGCATTTGGTTGCCAGACAAGCAGTGCCACCATCTTCTGAGAGTTTACCAAGTCATCCAGGTTTGATGTTCTTTACACCTGTTATAATCTATGTCTTTGACTTCAATTGTTGTAGGAAACTGCAGTTTAAATGTCATATAGATTCTATATGCCAATGGCAGTTTACTTGTTATGTACTTCCTAGTGTGAAAATTTTCTGTTTGTGATTTGCCTCATAGATTAGCTCTCATAGAGTGTTTTGGCTGATTATGACCTAGTTGTTTTTTGTTTTATTTTTCTATATTGTGTATTAATTGTATATTCTAAACAACGTTAGTATGTATTTTCTTTTCCTGTATTTTATATAACCACTAAAAAGTAATTTTTTTTTTCTTTTCGTGTAGATTTATTTTATATAACCACTAAACGTAATTCTGTTTCCTGATATTGTCAAGGTTAGTTAATATGACGGTTAGGGTTTATATTATATTGATGATCATTCTTCATTTGTTCTTAGAAATTTGCTAAACATTATGAAGGAATCCATTTAAAAGTCCAGTCAAGTGACAAACTATCCCATGTGGAGTGGATGAAACCATAATAAATTTCATAGAATAATTTAATAAATAATTCAGCCGTTTGAAGGCAACCATATATGGAACTTAAATAATTAATTAATTGTTTTGGAGAAATTCCTTTTTTGACACAATAGAATCTAAAACATGTTCACTCTATGGATTCCTGATATGTATCTTGTCATATACACTTTTACTAAGGGCAAATTGGCATTCTCAAGTGTTTATTCCATTAACTTGTAGACCCTCTCTCTTCAAGTAAATTCATTGTGTCTAAATAACTTCTACGTGTTTCTAATTTTACATTAGAAAAACTACTATTATTTAGAAATAGTAAAAAATTAATTGCTTAACATCATTACCTGCAGGTACTGACCCTGCTTCAAGTACCAGCCGTAATCAACGAATTCAGATAGCTCCTGGTATTGTGGTTGAAACTTTCAATATGCCTGATCAAGCTGATGGTGTTCATCCAGATATCAATCGGGTGAGGCTACGAATTCAGATAGCTCCTGATGTGCATTCGTGCTTCATTGTAATTACTGTTGATTATCTCTCATTCTTGGGCAGATTGTCACAGCTGTTCTTGGTTCTTTTGGAATAAATACTAACGGGCGAGGTAGTGAAGGGGTTGATGTCCATGTAAGTTTGAATTTTGGACTCCAAAAAATAAAATGAACGAACTTATTTAGTTGACCTCCTTTCATTTATTTTACTTTATTTTTTTTTTGAAAAAACTAACTTTGTGATATGAATGAAAATATTTTCAATAAAGGATTATATTTGAAATGCTTAGAAAGGCTTAATTCTAGCCAAACTATAACACATTTTATTTTGATATCTATATTTGTCTACATATACTTGTTTTGTATTTACAATTTTCTTTTTGGGGTATGTTGGTGTGGTTAGGAACATGGCTCGGAAAGACGTCAAACTGCATTAGGTGCTGGTGGTTTGAGATCATCAACCCAGCTGGTACCTGAAGAAGCTGGCATGAGGGGCCAGTCAGATAGATCACATGGTCCTTTTGGACTTCAAACATCTGTTCCTTTAGGGCATTTGCAGCCTCATGTAAGTTTGGAGTTCTCAATTTACTTCATTCATTTGTTTGTTACTCTATTTTGTATTTAATAAGCATCATTTAAGTTGCATTCATGTACTAGATGAACAATAAAATCATATAATAATTTGATTATTGCAGGTGATACCTGATTCTTTGACGACTTTGTCCCAATATCTGAGTCGTATGAGGCAAGAATATGGTGACAATGGTCAGTTCCTTTTGCTTCTCTCAAAATTTATCCTATATAATTTACTTACCTTAAGAAGCTGGCTTTATCAATGTTTATGACATAGACGGGAGAAATGATGCTCAAGCTGGGGCCACAGATGGGACTGGAGTGTCGCTTTCCGGGTCTGTGCAACAGGGGCTTCCTACTCCATCACTCTTGGCAGACATTTTATCGTCTACAAGAGAAATGCTCATTGAACAAGCAGCAGAAAACTTACTAGTATGTGCTTATGCACCACACTTTTTTCTCTATAAAGCTGTCAATTTTTGATGATTTGGTATTCAGACAGTTCGCCGCTAACCTACTATGTATGTAAGAAAACTAATACAAGTTCAGGGAAGGTAGGATAATCTGCTGAACATGACCTCTGCAACCTTCTTGTGTTTGTCTCTTTGCTAGCTAAAATACATTGCAATCTTTTCATTTTATATTCTGACAGCAACTTGGGAGGCAACTGCGTAATCAATCAAATGTGACTGATCCAATGGTGCGACTAAATACTCAGTCTAATGCATGGAGAAGTGGAATTCTATTTCAAAATTTAGGTGCATTTCTTCTTGAACTTGGTCGGACAACCATGACTGTTCGAATGGGTCAAACTCCTGTAGGTTCACTTTTGCTCTGTTTGATTTAAATTTATCAAAATTCAAGTCACGTTTCAATTGAATTTTGTTGATTTTATGTAACCTGTTCTATATGTTGTTTTAACTCATTCTTCTTGCAGTCTGAAGCAGTTGTTAATGCTGGTCCTGCAGTTTACATATCACAATCTGGTCCTAATCCTCTCATGGTTCAGGTGACACTCCTAAGATCTCTTCAAAAGAATTTTGTTCTTTTTCTCTTTAGTTTGTGCTAACTAAACTTAATACATCCTCAGCCTCTTCCTTTTCAACCGGGATCAAATTTCGGGTCAATCCCTACAGGAAGTGGACATACTGGCTCTGGTTTGGTTCATGATTTTGGTGCTGGGTTTCTTCCAAGGCATGTCGAAATACACATACGAAGAGGTGCTTTGAATACTTTATTCATAAATGCTTGATATAATTATGCTTTTGGTTGTGAATTATTTCCCTGATTACTAATCAATCTCTTGGATGTCATTAGGTTCGTCAACAGCCAGAGCCAATGCAAACCAAGAGGAACGTGCTGGTTCTCAGCGGGCCTCTGGACAGACTAGCCCAGCAATGAATGGTAGTGAATTTCATGTCAGTCAAGCAACTTCAGGGGTTCCAGGGGATCCTTCTCATACTGCGGCACCTGGAGTACGGCTAGTGCCCATTGGGACCATGGTTGCAGCAGTTCCTGGTCCCCTTGGTCGCCTTCCTGTTCTTGGAAGATTTCAACATGTAGCTTCTGGACTCTTGAGCAGTAGAAGAGGATCTCAGACTTTTGGAGAGTATCGCCCAAATGGCTTCCAAACGGAGCTTCAGTCTGGATCTGGACTGCAACATAACATTGAACATCATGCAAGAGATACTAATTCGACAAATTCAGGGGTTGAACAAGGTAATGTGGATTGATTGTTTCATAATTATGATCTTCATTTTCTGATGTAAAGCATAGCTTATTTGGTTTTTTTTTTTTTTTCGTTTCTCTGGTGCTGATGATGGCTGTTGTTGTTTACTGCTGTTGCTCTTTTTTTGGTGGTTATTGGTATCGGCAGATACATTTAAGAGTAATATGATCAGGAGGGGTTTATTCTCTTATGTCTGTTATAAAATCATCTGACCACCTCCTATTTGTCTATTCATCAATGTTCTGAATTAAAGATACCTACTTCTTAGAAGTCCATTTCCAGTGTATGTCCTGCAAATGTGGGAGTTGAGAGGGGAAGATTAGAGGCGAACTTCTTTGTCAATTGTTTTGTACAAAGTGGCTGCTCTAAGACTTGAACCAGTGTCTTCATACTTGTTAGTTTGAGTTTTTACCATCAAAGTTGCCTACTTATTTTAGTTCAAGAAACATGGCTAAAATATTTCCCACCGTCTCTCCATCTTACAAAAATAACTGGGAGATTCTTATCTGCTTTATCTGGTGGAAATGTCAAAGTTCCAACTCTGTTAGGAACGGGAAGTCCCGGGACTTTTTTTATGTTAGAAACCAATAAAATTACACAGAAAGAGTGCAGGTGATATTGTTGGCTGAAAAAAATTAGAAGAAAAGAAAGAAAGTCTGCAAGCTTGATTTGGTGACCTTGTTATGGTTCAAGATTGTATCTTCAAGTGTCTTGATTAGACTTATTTTTATATATAAATAAACAAACCACAAAAAATACTAAAGGGGTGCAACCTATGGGCACACAACGTGGACACACAGGAACAAAAGAAGTAGAAAACTAGAAACAACTTATTCACTCATCTCCTAGAAAATCGAGAACAGAATCATAAGGAAAACGAAAAACTGTAAAAAAGGCAGTTACCTAGTGCTTGTCCTACAAACGCAGGATGATAGGTGGGGAATATTGGAAGGATCTAACTTGTGGTTTTATTTCGTATGAAGTGATTGTTGACAAATTCGAACCTAGATTCTCACTTGTGAAGAAATACATCCATGAAATATCGTACTTGGGAGTTCTTTTCAACCCAACCTGTTGTCCTTCCATAGCTCCATCCTTGAAATATTGTACTTCATTTGGTTGCCCCACGTATTCTTATATTTTTCTTCCACCACTATCGTTAAAAAATGCTCTACTCATTTCATATTTCCATAGTCCCCATAGAAATTGGTTGAAATCTCTCATAATCTCATATTCCTCCTTAAATGCTCTAAGTTTACCACTAGACTACTACCTCCATCAGTTTCCCCATTAGGATCAACACAATCTTCTGCAGGTTGCCTTGTAGACTTGACACTGCCACAAAAACAAAGTAAAACACATCACAGATGTCATTACTGTTCCTCCGCATAAAAAACTAACTTTAATAACTGCGAATGAAACATTGCAAAATTGTCATGGGTACCTTACCCTGCGATTTAGGGCAAACGACGTGTGTTCCTAAACAAATTGGGCTTTGGAGTGAGATTCAAGCATACTGGTGCCTGCAACTTAGGAAGCACGGACACACTTAAAAAGGCAAAGAATCCATGTCGGACACCGACACGCGCCGCACACGCCCTGACACGTGTTTGACATGCCAAAAAACGTGTCTATTTATTTATTTATTTTGAATATTCAGACACGGCACGGACATGCCGTGAACACGCGTGTCCCATTCTTTCGTTTTTTTTTTTGACAAGTAAGGCACTTGGGGATTTAAGAATGTTTTAGAAAGAAAGCTAGGTTGAAGTGTAAATATAAGGAGCTGTTTAATAGCTTTCAGTGATATGATGGTCATTACATAATTACCTAAAAGAAGTTGTTTTATAAAACAATTTTATATCAAACAATCAGATATTTATGCTAATATTTCAGTTCAAAGGTTCAAACTCTTGCACGATCATCATTGACTCTCTTTTTCTCCACCGACCAAGCTTCGCTCTGGGTTGATGGTTTCTCTCTCTCTCTCCTCTTTCTCCTCTTTTCTTTCTTCTTCTTCTTTACAAACCCTAGATACTGCTTTTTTTCCTTTTACCATAAAATTCTTTTCATGTCTCTTTTTCCTTTTTCATCTTGTTTCCATGAACTTTTTCTCTGCTATGGATTCTTACTAACTAAGCCCTAATTTTTTTCTAACAAATCCCTATTCCTCTTTTTTTTTTTTCTTCTTTTTTTTCTTTCTTAACCCTCTTTCTATCATTCTTTCTTTTTCCCGGCAAAACACAATTTTTTTTTTTTTTTTTTCATTATTAGGTTGATAAAAAATAACATCACATATATATAATATTTATTATTCCCTATGTCCCCGCCGTGGCCATGTCCTATTTTTTTAGGATTTGCCGTGTCCGTGTTGTGTCGTATCCTCGTCCCATATCCGTTTCTGTGCTTCTTAGCCTGCAACATTGCCAACTGGTGCAGCCAGCTGATTCTGCATGCTTATGGCTGTCTCCCTATGGTGCTAAGTGCACTAGTTGTCATTATTGCTAGACATTAAGTACAAGAAGCCAAAAAAAAATTGACAAGGAGGACCATTGAAAGATCTGAATTTGTCCTGCCAGTTGTCCAAGTCACTGTCGGCAACGTATTGCCAGTATACCGACTGCTAGAAGTCGGATCTTCTTTTTTTCTATGGGTTTTAACTAAGTACACATCACCTACTAAAGGGCCTTAAAGGCCCTTGAAAGAACAAAAACCACAAGGCAAAGGAATTCCTACACTTCAAGAGCCTAAAGGGGTGCACAATTGAGGGCTTATAAAGCCCACAACAAAAACCACATAGCTGGACTATAAGTTGGATGGTCAGGATCTTGTTTGGATCCCCGATGGTTGCTTGCATGGCCAGATGGTGTTCTCATACGTCTGGTCACAAGCTTTATTGTCAGCACAATGACATGTTTGGTAACACTATTTCGATGAAGTTTCTCCATGAAGTTAGCACCCTGCACTCATTGATCATGAGGCATTTGCTACTTGCTGCACTAAAAGGCTTGCTCTTCAGCTCTCAAAACCGTTTTTCTTCTGTGGGAGCACAATCAGATGTCAGACTAAATCCTGCCTTGATACCGACTGACACAATAAAAGGTGGGATGGAAATGAATCCAAAGCCATATACCTGTGGTAAAACCCTAGATACCACTAGGAGTTTCCTCAAACGTACAAGGAATAAGAAGAGAGAAACTCTCCAAATTAAAAAATTTAATGATAAAAAACGTCTCCAAGGCCTAGGGTATTACATCTTTAATTATAATATTGACTAGCAAAAGTCAAATTACTACTATAGTTCTTTCCTAACAAATTATTAAATTTGAAAATTCAAATCAAATCAATGGAATTCAATCTGATCAAATCATTATAATTCACCATTTCCTAATCTAACCTGACTTTTAAACTTCCAAAAGATAAACATGTCAACTTTTAAAAGTGATCGGCAAGTTTTGGACATCCAATGGTTTGGTTGGCTGGCAGTACCTCACCAGCAATACTTCGTGCAGTTAGGAGTGCCTTGTTGTCCATCTGTTTTTAATGTCCATCTGTAGAAGTTGGTGGCAGTTTTGAGTGTGTAGATATAGCTAGCTGCACCCTGCTGATAGCACTGCTGGCAGCAACTGCATAAACCTTTGGACTTAATTTGTTTAGGTACATTTTTCAGCCATTGTCCTACACTGCCTACAAAACTCTTGAGTTCTCTTGCCATGCGTCTCACTACTATTCTCAATAACATCCAACTGATGCCACCTTCACCACAATGAATGAGAAAGGAGATAAAGGGTGCCCCCTGATGGAGACCTTTGGAGCTGCTAAAGAGGCTAGTTGGAGTATTATTAATCAAGACATAGAGTGACAGCATAGAAACATATTTATTTGCCCGTTTTCTCCTTTGATATTCGAATCCCATCTTTCCAATACATACAGTAATAAGTCTCTTCAATATCTAGTTTGTAGATCATCCCTGGCTAATTGCTTCCAATCCTAAAAATTTGTACATTCATCTGTAACAACCCCTCATTTACTTTTTAGGACTGCCCCATCACAAAAGGATTCTGGATTCTGAGTCACTCAACCCACCACCTTTCCATACTGTGATGCCAACACTTGGTGATAAGCTTGTGAATACTCCCCATCAATCTAATTGGTACAAGTCCTTCAAATCTGTAAAAGGAGAATTTTTCTCCTTCCTTCATTTATAGCACTTCAGAGTTTTTGCCCATAGCTTCTCATGTATTATGACTGTACATTTGAACCCTCTCTTCTTCTCCTTCCTTCTGATCCCCTTTTCCTGACCCACCATCCTCCCATTCTTCCCATCCATCTACTTGATATCTTCAAATGACTTTGCCTTCCTCCACATCAAAATGGCAAAGTTATCCTTAATTGGTTGTTACATGTTTTAAATGCTCCTTTACTAATTTAAGCCTCCTAGCCAAGTATGCCTCGGTATATAAATAACCCTTTAATCTTTCCAGTGAAAAGGAAAAAAAAATCCCTGTACCTATCCAATAAAATCAAAGCATTTGTTGATAAGTTGCCTTGAGATACGTTCAAGAAATGCTCCTCTAATTCTCGTGATACTAAGAATCTGCCCAACTTTGGCAGGGAGAAAGATTCTTTATTGTTTAACCATTTGTATCTCCCTCTTTTTAAAGGCAAATCCATGAAGCTTGTGGAGTTTGTGAACTTCTAGAATTCCCTTGTTGCTATTGATGTTCTAGCACAACCTAAACTTTCACATTGAGATCTTCCTATGTGCCACAGGAATTCTCATCTTTCCTTTATATACTGCCTAGTTCTGAAAAGTTTGAGTCTCTACAGAAGTTCTGATTATTTTCGTATCAAAATCAGAAATGATGACCATCTTAAGGTTATTACAGATGTCCAAGAAATCTCCTCTTTCAGAGAATTGAAAGATAAGCAGCTGCAAAATGTTAAGATATATAATTGCGAACTTTAAGGGATTTTTTTTTTTTTTTTTTTTTTTCTGTCTAACCTAAGTGCTCGAGATTCCCACCATTGCGGGGTCTGGGGAGGGTCAGATGTACGCTGCCTTACCTCCTTATGGAGAGGCTGTTTCTGGCTTCGAACTTGTGGCATCCAGGTCATAATGGAGCAACCTTACCGTTGCGCCCAGGCCCACCACCAGTATATAAAATCATTATGAATATCAATTGACTTCTACCACACAGGAATATGAAGCCTGACTAACTTGATATAGGACTCCAACCACACGAGGAAAATTGCTAACTAGGAAAAACTAGCCATTGGGAAAACATAATAATTTATGATGACGAAGACAATTGGAGGTCATTCATAAATTATAATTATTATGGAACGTAAATTAACTTCATGTGACTTGAAATAGAAACTGAATGAATGACAGGAACACAAGGAGGAAGAAATTCTTGGCATCCAATGAATATAGGGTTTTTCTAACCCAGTGGTCCTTTTTTTCTATAAAAAAAAAAAAAAAAATCTTAAAAATCTGTTGCTTAGGGAGAGGAATTATTTCAGTGTTATTTGTGAGTTACTTTTTCTTTAATTTGGCAATGAATGTAAAACTGATAAACAATCTCTCTCTCTGTGTTGTGAGTGGGGATGGGGTGTTAATGTATTATTAGTGATCTGTCATACTAGTTTGTGCTTAGGTCTTGTAGTTTTATATTAGTCTACCCCTGAAAATAGTTTATGATCTATCACTTTTACTCGAGACTGACGTCAAAAAATTGTCAGTCCCATTATCTTTATCATTATGGCCGTTATGCAACACACGAAAAAAATAAATGGTTGAGCAAAAATCACCTGCCATGTGGCAAACAATCATGTACTTGTACCTAATTAAGATCACCTGCCACATAGCTTACAATAGTATTGAGTTTCTTGAAAATGTAGTTTACATTCAACAATCAGTCATCGTGGTGCAAAGATATTCTGTCCTTTTATGGAGTTCTATTCTTATTTTCCCATCCATAGTGCCTAAGATTCAGCGAAGCTGTATATCTTTCATTTTGTGAAAGTTATATAAAAGTTAGGGATAACTCATGATTTTCAATTTCACTATCCAGCCACCAGGCATTTTTATAAGATTAGCCGTTAGCGCCAAATGAAGTGTGCCATGAACAAGGCTTAGTGCAGTGAACTATATAACTAGCTAAAATTTTATATAAGGTATACACTACACATAGGTCTTATCATGCTTTGCTATAGAAACCGGTGTTCTAAAAAGGAATTGAGCTCATTCAGTTATATGGTATTAGTTGGTCATGACAGGACCATGCACTTGGAGCTAAATTTTCAAATTGCTTGTTTTAGCAGGTCCATTGCCAGCTCCTAATTCACGCAGCTTTAATATCAACGTTCACTCAACTGGTGGATCCGGAAACAACCAAGAATCTGAGAGCGAAGTCCCTAGTGAAATTCTTCAATATCTGAGAACTCTTTTTCCAGGTAGTGAAATCCAAGTAGGAGATGCTGTCCCACTGGAAACAGCTACAGGTTCTGTTGCACAAAATGCTGGGACAACCAGTGGAGAATCAAGAGAGAGTGATGAAGGAATTTTCCTCTCCAATTTGCTTCAGCAAATCATGCCCTTTATATCTCAACTTTCAAGTGGAGAGCCAAATCTTGCATCTTCAGAGGCACCAAATGTTTCTGAGCAAAGAACTGAACAAGATTCTTCCTCCTACGTAAGCATGTGTCACCTGTTACCCTTGTCATGTTTTCTTCTGCCTAATGGCACAGCATAATATGGATCTTATTTTATCTTCTTTGAATCTGAACTGGGCATCTTGTCAAACAATTACAAACTATGCAATCAGGCTAAATGATATTGTTTTTGCAGGCTGAGAATTCTGATATCGGGACCTCACGTCGACAGAATGATGTCGAACCAAGTCCTCCAAATTCAAAACGTCAAAAGGTGGTGTTTTTGAGAACTTTGTTTTTTCTTTTCCCTTCTTATCTTAGGGTAAATTACATAACACCGCTTGAGGTTAGGTCAAATCATAGAATTTTGCTTTTAATTTTCAATTACATTTGAAAGAGTGAATCCGTATTTCACTTACACCCCAATTGTCACTTTTTAGTGATGTCAGTGTACATTTTACATGCAAAATGACTATACTATCCTTTTGACTTCTTGTTGTCTTAAACAAGGGTGTGTTAATTTTTTATTGACAAAAATGCCCCCAGTGATAGGGGTTCTCAACTAACCACTAGAACCCACCACCACCAGCCCCACCCCTACCCAACACCTCCATCACCACTGCCCCCACTCAAAACCAAACCCAAAACCTCCATCAAAATTGCCCCCACCTAAAACCAAACCCATCCACATGCCTATTTAAATTTGATTGAAATAATGACTTTGTAAAAGTTAGCCGCAATAAATTAAAGTAACCATGAAAAACGGTCATTATAGTTTTATTTTTGTTAATTTAACAAATAAAACATTTGAAGATTTCTTAAAAACTTCATAGAAAAGAATAAAATGAAAAAATAAACTCGAATTGCAAAAGAGAATATATTAAACATTTTTATGCAGTTAAAAAATAATAATTAATGTTTTATTATATATAAATTTTTCAAAATTTTAGTTGTAGTTTGCAATAGTGTTTAAACAGAAATTGAGAGATTAAAACCAAATAGAAAAATATTTAAAAGGTAACACTTAATTGTCCTATTGAAAATTGATAGGATTTATTGGTTTTTTAAAAGAAAAATAATTTCAATACATAATATTTCCAAATATAAAACCTATCTTCTATCAATTATTACCATAATATAATTATATAAAAAAAAAAATTGTAGATTAAAGTCCCTATAATTCTCCAAGTGCAAGAAGGTTGGAAATTGAATAGGATATTAATTATTAAGTAAATAAAAAATTGTGAAATTAAACCTAAATGATATATGGTTTCCATGAGTTATATCACCCTGTAAACAATTACATGTATCCCCTTTCAGGCTTTCACCCTCCATTGATTGAACGAAAAAAGGAACATAAGCAAATAAGTTAGGTGCTTCTAATGGGTCCAAGCCCATTCGGCTTAGATATACAAATATATAGAGATAAAGAGTGAGTGATTTGGCAAGAGTGGTGTGTCAGATTAATAAATTGGGGCATTTTCGTCATTTAAGATTACAAATATTTTGTGTTAAATTGCATTAAAAAACTACGGGTAAATGGGTCAATTTGCATGTGTTAGAGTTCAAAAAGTAATTTGGGGTGTAATTGAAAGTTAAAACCAAAATGTCCATCTATGTGAGACTTGAGAAGTAATTGGCAATTTTTTTTATAAGTCTTATTATCCAGTGAGCTTCAATATACTGTATATTGAAACCTTAGTGAAATTAAAGCCTCTATTTCGTTTTAGAAACATTAAATGCAGGTAATTTTTATTTTGCTTGTGATTGAATTGTGATATGAATTACATCCCTGGTTATATGATTATCTTTTAATAATTTGCCTCCCCTTGTCAACTTTATTTTGATAAAAGCCCATCCAATCAATTATTTGATAAAATAATTTAGTCTAAAATTGTATAATAAACAGCAATTGTATGATACAAATATTTTTAACATATTAATTACCCTAATACTTTTAAACAATAAATGCAGGTATATTTATTTGGCTTGTGATTGAATTGTGATATGTTAAGTAGAATTATATTTTAAAAGATAAATATATTATCATCTGTAGATAATCTATAAAATTCATGATATTTTTACCAAATAGAGTTATACATTTCCTGCACTCATTGCACTTTATACCTTGCTGGTTTTGGCGAGTCTTGTAACAGAATCTGTTACAATTTACTGTGGGAATTGATTTTATGTTTATTAATATGAGTTGTGAGCATGAATTAAAGTGGATTATTTGTCAGTAGTTTGTATGAAACTCCTAAGGTAAATAAATAACCTTTTTATTTGTAGAATTGACTTATCATTTATTTTGTTTGGTTTCTAGAAAGGACTTTGCTCAACTATGTACACGTACATATATATATGTGTGTGTTGTTTTCTTCCATTTTCCTAAAATATGGCTCCCCCGCCACAACCCACCCACACCCCTACTACCCCTTTTCTTTTAAATTTTTTTGTCAAGCAAACTATGCTACATGGGTGCACATTCAACTTCTGTTTTTGACTTAGTTGCTTGGAAAAAGGAGGGTTTATGGTGAGTACACGTCTCCTATATTTATAAAAACACTAGGGAAGAAAAAAACACTAGAAAATGCCACATGATGAATCCTTTGGATATTGAAGCATGCAGCCCTAGTTTTAGTTGTTCCAAGTGTGTAATGGTGTGTTTTATTGGAAATTTCCAGGCTGTATTGGCCAAGGCAGTAGATTAGATGTCATGAGGTCAATATTTGTTACTTTTCTTGCCTAAATTTAGCTGTGTGATGGATTAACATGGTCTTTTGGGTTTCCTGTGGAACATATAATGAAATTATTCAGGTGTCCTGTTCACTGATTTGTAAGGTTTTTTTAATTTTTTCTTCTTAATGCAGATGGAATAATTTATCATAAGATAAGAGTTGTAATTTATGATCCTGTGACTAGCAATGGGGCATTTCTTCTACCGGTATACAGAGGTGGTACTCGTTTTGTTGCTGTAGCATCATGCATTTCACTGCTAGGAGGTGACATAATGCCACATTTCGCAATTGTAGGCTTTCTTCTCCCTGGGACAAATAGATTGTTGTATGTACGACTTTGGCCTAGCCTGAGTTATGTGCCTTCTCTTTCTTTTTTAAGTCTTATTCAATGGGTAAAAGTAATGTTATTTAGGGTGTTTCTTGTAACTTCCAGCGCATCGTGTTGGGACAAGGGTTTTTGAGTTGATTTGAGGTACTTTTAAAATTTGGGCCTTGCTTTAATATCTATATAGGGTTTTGTCATAACTTTTTAATCTTAGTCCGTGTTTGGTTAAATTTCCTTTTAAGAGGTGATTTCGGGAAAGTCGTTGAACGACCGGGAGAATCCCCAGTGATATCTGAGCTCACCCACATATAATCAGCCGATTGAAAGATGTATTAAATAATTCATTTGATTTTTTACGAATTTTAAAAAAGTATCTCAAATGGAGAGCATGCATGCTCTCTTCACAGTATTGCTCTTTATAGAATTCTTAACAGCATGAGATGAAAGAGAGTGCATGGCATTTGCCCCGATTTCAATTTTTGTTTTCTGTGGTGGTTTTCATTATTTATTTATTTATTATTATTTTTTAAAATGGTAACAAAATCTGTTTGGTAACTCAATTTTGACTTTTAATAGTTTAAATTTTTGAAAACTAGTTGCGATTTCGTTCACAATTGTCGCAATTCTAAAATGAAGATTCAGTTTTGATTTTCAAATACTGTTATTTATTATTTTATTACTTTTTACAATTAGAGAAATATTATTTTTCTATTTTTGCAATTATACTAGTAAATAAAATATTATTTTATTATTATTTAATTATATAAATAAAATTATTTTTTTGTTTATAGTACTTGAATAGTAAAATTTAAAATGTTATTTTATTATGTTTCAATTATACTAAATAAAATTTAAAAAGTTATTTTGTTTAACTCAAATAATAAAATAAAAAAATGTTATTTTACTATTTTATTAATTTTCAATTATACTCAAATACTAAATAAATTTTTTTAAAAAAATATTTAATTATACTCTAATAGTAAAATTTAAAATGTTATTTTATTAATTTTCAATTATACTATAATAGTAAATAAAAGAGTCAAATTTTTTAAGAAAAAATTACCAAACATATTTTCTTGTTTCTCTTTTCAAAAATTAAACAACCTACATTATCAAACTATTTTGATTTTAACAGAAATGACAGCACAACTTTTCAAAACTTGCCATTTTTACATAAATGAAAGAATAAACAAAGTTGAAAATCATGGCTTTACCAAACAGGCTTTTAATATATGTCACACAATAATGATTTTTCCTATAAAAAAACATAGGGAAGGTGTTTCACAATGGGATGATAACATGAGATGAGGTTATATTAAAAATAAATATAATAGCTTAAGAAAAAAAAAAAAAAAAAAAAAAAAAAAAAAAAAAAAAAAAAAAAAAAAAACTATGCATTTTCTATCCACTCATTCGTAGGAATATAGAATAATATAGAATAATATCAATATAACACTGTACTACTATTATGAATAGGAATAAATTAATCTTTTCCTTGTTTAATATCAATATAAGAATGAATGAACTACAAATTCATACAAAAAATCTAAAACTATCTAACTTTGTTTCGACTTAAAATATTTTTTTTGGAAAAGAATTTTTTTTTTCAAATAAAATAAATAATTTTTTTATTTTTGTTTATTTGGTGATTGGCAAAGGTTTATGTTGAGTCTCAGTTAGAATATAAAATAATATCAGTATAAGACTGAACTACGATTATGAATAGAATTAAATTAATCTTTTTCCTTGTTTAATATCAATATAAGAATGAATGAACTACAAATTCGTACAAAAAATCTAAAACTATCTAATTTTGTTTCGACATAAAATATTTTTTTTGAAATAGATTTTTTTTTTTCAAGTAAAATATATATTTTTTTAATTTTTGTTTATTTGGTGATTGGCAAAGGTTTTGGCTGAGACCCCTCAATCGTTGGCCCAACAGTTAATTATTTTAAAGCCCAGCCAGAAGGCCCAAAATAGCCTCTATTTGAACCTCGTTATTCACAACTAGGGTTAGGATTTTTGTGGTGGTGCTATTTTAGTCTTGCTTTGCCTCCTTTCATCTTCGTAGTCTCTCGAGTGTCGTCGACAATGGCGGAGCAGGTTAAATTTCAGATCTTTCTTCTCTTTTATCTCTCCTTTCCTTCTCTCTCTATATTCTCTTCCCTTTTCTTCTTATAGTTTTGTGTTATATGTCTGTGTTTGTACTCAGATCTCAACGTTTGTTGTTTCTTTTGCAGACTGAGAAGGCATTTCTGAAGCAACCCAAAGTGTTCTTATGGTAATCTATTTAAAAAGAAACTAAACAGAAGGCAAAACTGTTTTATGGTTGAGTTTAGTTTTTGTTTATGACATTTTTGTCTCGTGTTTGTTTGTTCTTTTCTGCTTCTAAATTTTATAGCTCGAAGAAATCTGGGAAGGGGAAGAGACCTGGAAAGGGTGGAAACCGCTTCTGGAAGAGCGTTGGTTTGGGATTCAAGACTCCCAGAGACGCCATAGACGGTCTGTGTGATATACTATTTACACAAACATTTATGTGTATATATGCGTGTATATATATAATAATAATTTTGGATGGATCTCCTTAATTCTTAAGCTCGGATTTCAACTTATTTGTCTAATGTTCATGAAAATGCAAATACCACCAGCTGGGTGTGGTGCTCATCAAAAGAGATAAAATTAATAAGAAGAAATCTGTGATATGTTAATGGTGCTAAGATTATGATGCACACTAGTGGAAGTTGTTGAGAAATTTTCCATTTTTTTTGTTATTATCATGTGTACTTAAGCATATTTTGTTGGAGTATTTTGCCTGCTATTCATGGCCTTTGGCTGTGGCATCAGATGGAGGCTTAATGATGGCTGTCGATATGTTTGATGGGATCTTGGGAAGTATAACAAGAACAACAAATGAATTGTTTTGCAATGGGAGGGATACCTTTTATATACACATTTGTTAGATGAGTACCATGTAATGTTTGACAGGAATGGTATTAGGTAAAGAAAAAAGACTAGAATAGGCATTAGCATTGTCTGGGTTGTGTGCCAAGCCATTTCATGCTACCACCTAAAGTTAAACCACTCATTATGAATAAATACTATATATTGTCAACTGGATGACATATATGTCCCATGCTGTGCATTGTTTGTTAGACATACTTAAAAATTAGGCGAAATCATACCATTTTAGGACTCATAAAAATCTTGAGCTGAATTTTCTTATCTGAATTGATATCATCTTTGTTTCGCTCGCTCATACATGTTTCTGGAGTTCTGATTGTTATTAAAGAATATGAAGTGGCTACTTCTTTAACATGACCTAACAGAATCAATGTTAATTGCTTGGTAACAGGAACATATATTGATAAGAAATGCCCCTTCACTGGCAATGTTTCAATTAGGGGCCGCATCCTAGCTGGGACATGTCACAGTGCTAAAATGATGAGGACCATTATTGTTCGACGGAACTATCTTCACTTTGTCAAGAAATACCAAAGGCACGATTGATTTTAGTTAGATAGTTATATCTATTTTACCAGATTTTATTTTTTGAGGGAAAGTGTAACATTTTCTTTATGTTTCTTTTCTGTCTAAAGGTATGAGAAGAGGCACTCAAACATTCCTGCACACATCTCTCCATGCTTCCGTGTGAAGGAAGGAGATCATGTTACTATTGGCCAGTGCAGGTTAGATCGACAACTGCAAGATGTCTTCCTATTTTATACTTGAATAGAATTTCACAGATTGGCAGGCTCTGTTTTGGTCATTGATGTCACACATTGTTGTTCTTGTTTTATAATTGCCAGGCCTTTGTCAAAGACTGTGAGGTTCAATGTGTTGAAAGTGATCCCTGCTGGATCTTCCGGTGGAGGTGGGAAGAAGGCTTTCACAGCGATTTGAGGTTTGTTTACCAATTTCTGTGATAGGGCGGACTTTCATAATGAACTGGGCTCAGGGTGAGCTAATTTTGTGATAGTAGACCTTTACTGTTTTGAACCATATTAATGTGGAATATTTTTATGGATTTTTCTATGTATTATGCTTTTTGATAGTGAAATCATGGAGTTTCTGATATTTAACTTCACATATATAATTGGGATCTATGGTAACATTGATATGATGGGGATTTGTTAAGCTTACTGGTCTTCCTTTGATGACCATGATTTATGAAGTGTTTCAAGGCTCTTGTTGGATTGTTGTGGATAAACAAACATGCTGGGGGCATGTATTGGTTGTGTTGTCAATAGAGTTTAAACATTTTCCCCCTAATGTCACATCATCTATTGTCAAAATGCATGTCAACAAGAGACTGCAATGTTGCTGATCTTTTTCATTCTTAGCCAAGTCTTGTTTGAGCTGGAAACAAGATGGATTGGTTTCTATTCTGTATTCTAGGAGCTCCACAAGTATTATTTTTTATCCGATCTAGGATGAGCTTGTTCATGACTGGAAATTAATGCAGATTGAAATATGACCAAACCTGCATGCATATTTACCTGTTTGTATGGTAGTATCCCTAAATTATAGAAGACAATTATAGAGTTACCTACGTCCTGAGAGTAACAGGGGGCACCGAATGCTGTTCTGGATAGGTTTTTGTATATATGAGGTTATGTGGATGGTGAAAAATGCTACAGCTTCAAACTGCAGTAGGGGTTGCTACTTACCAAGGCTATAGCCAATGAAGGTTGAGATTAATTCTTGTTCGAGTGTTTTGCCCGCGATAAAAACATAATAATAGTAATATGGTATACTACTTCATTTAGACCCCCAGGATTTTCTCTATGTCGGTTAGATCCTCCCACCTTTGCAAATCTTCAGTCATGTCAGCTGAGGGAATGAAATGACTAATTAACCCTCATTTAGAAATATTGTATTTTATTCTAGAACACCTCTGCAAATCTTCAATCATGTCAGCTGAGGGAATGAAATGACTAATTATCCCACATTTAGAAATATTGTATTTTATTCTAGAACACCTTAGAGGCTTAGACTCTAGAGAAATTGTTAGGTTGTCCGGGACTCCCACATAGCTCTTGTGCTATCAATGTTTATTCAAGTTTTTCACTAATTCCCCTTCTAAATTTGAATCAAAATCCCTTACCTCAATTTCTTTCACTAGCTTTGTAAAATAGTATAATTTTGTAAGTAATTTTACATTTATTTGGATTTTCTTGCTTCTTCAACAGCGATTGGGTTCGAGTGTTTAAGAGAGTTTGTCTTTGTTTTCCTTCAAAATATCCAGTTTCATCACACCTTCCATCTGTCTTTCTCAGAGAGAGAGAGAGAGGGAGAGAGAGAAGTGAAGTAGAAGAGTGTGTATTAGCCTAGCCTATTTGAAACTTCGCTTCGGAGATGGTGAAATGGATGAGTGAAATAGAGAGGAAACTGGAATGCGAGAGAGGTCGGATCCAGAATAGAAAGATGGATTCGGGCCAGAGAGAGAAGAAACGCGATGGGTGGTGGTGGTCAAGATTTTTGAAAAAAGGGTTAAACAATTCTAAGCAATTCTATCAATACAACTTAATGAGCCGGAATAGCTGAATCACCCATACCTCATCATATGGAGAGGGTCGAATTACTGATGTACTAAAGCCTGTTTGATGAAATGCCAAACTAGTCGGGCTATGAAGTGCAATTACTTCTTTAAAGGGAAAAAATGGGCTTTGTCAATAATTTTATTCCTATTATCAGCAATAAAACTTGGAGACCATCTCTGGCCCTTAATAAGGGGAAAGTGATATGTTGTGAAGGAAGATTCAGGGGTCTACAAGTTTGCGTGCTTGGGGAAGTTTGACCTATATATAAAAGTACATAGTGTGTAATTTATAAGAAGTTTAAATGAAGTTTACCCATAATAACCAAAAAAAAAAAAATGTCTTGTATACGGAAGTCACTGCTCACAAAAAATTTACGTGTTTGACAACTTATATACAAATAATTTAGTATTTAACAAGTACCTGCTTATACTGCGGTGGAGGATAAAGCAAGCATATTGGATGTTGTTAGTAGTATTATGTCTATTTATATAGCTTGTCATGGTCATGTTAAGGCTCCAAGACTTCCCACTGTAGGTTTGATTAGGAAGGTAGCACGGAAAGCTCCATTTATTTGTCTATATGTTTTTAAGCGTGCCTCGTGTACCTGTTGCTCTGATGTTATAAAATCTTTTTATTTGCCAGGTTAAAAAAAAAAAAACAAGTACCTGCTTATATCATTTTTATTTTTGGGTAAGTCGGTCTTCTCGAGAAAAATGTACAAAATGACGAGGGCATACCAGGTGCGATACAAACCCATTCAAGGTGGGCTAAGAATCCAAAAAAGTAATTGTAGTTCTTAATTACTCGCACATTTTAAAGATTTTTACAATGACCCCTTTCTCAAAAATTAGTGATTAACCACCTTTTATATAATATTTTTGACATACAATAGAATATATTTACAAAATTTTATGCAGTACAAATTGAGTTCCTTGGGTGATCTCTTATTTCGGCAGTACATGGTGAAGTATGTACAGGTATAATAGCTTTATGTATTCGGGCGGCAATGCCATTTGGGATTGTTTTTACAGGAATTAGCGTCAATTTGGACAGCAGACTGACTAGTCCACCAATACTATTTTCTCGATGACTGTTGGACCATTATTAACTATTATGTGTTGACAAAACACGTTACGTTTGGTGGAATGACAGTTTCTTGGTACTTTCTCAAAAATAAAAATATATATATAGATATAAATGGACCGTGTCTTGCTGTTCTATCTAATTGGAATAGTGGATTTAATAAAATCATTTTTAACTTAGTGATCAATTATTAGCTAGGCAAATTTAAAAAAAGTACAACGCCGGTATAGCACGGACACGGTTGCATAACAATATAATTTTTTATTAGTATATATTTATTCAGTAATAGGATTATAAAATTTTAATTTATTTATAATTTCTATATTAAGAATTGTTCTGAAATAAATTAGAAAATAAAATTATGTTATTATTGTAATAATTTTTATATTATATATAACATTATTTTATTACTTTGTCATTGACAGTATTCATATTATTTTCAAGATTACTTGATAGACTTTCATTTAAAATGAAGTGTCCGAAATAATAAAATTAATTTTTATTTATGGACACGTATATGAAATGTCGAACACGTATTCGAGTAGTGTCAGAAGAGTGTTGGTGTTTGACACTAGTACGATGCAGGTACGGTTTCGTGTTCGACACTAGTACGATGCAGGTACGGTTCCTTCGTAAAAATGTCTGCTAGTATATTAAAGAATTCAAACAAGGAAGAAAAAACTTGTGGAAACTGGAAAGTCTCCCGTTTCCTTTTCCAACAATGATTACTTGGAGAACTTTGTGTTGGTATTGGTTGTTTTTACTTTGTTATCCAAGTACATATCATTACCACGAATTAATTCAAAATTCAAAATTCAAAATTCAAGTAGGTGGTTCCTCAAATAATGGAGAGTTTTGGAGCCTTGGAGGGATACAAATTAAGCATTATAAGTAATTTGTTATTCCAAATGGAGAGAAATGAAAGAAAAGGACTACAAAATTAATAAAGCTTTTTTAATATCGATTTTTTATTTTATTTTTCTTCTTAAAAATAAAATTAAAATATCATATGAGTTTTAGAGGATGTTTTTATTCTCCATAATATAAATTTATTAAAAGTAATATTATGTTCATTTTAATCTTGATTAAAATGTCAAGACTATCATTTTTTTTCTCTCATTAATTAATCAAACACAATGCAGGTTAACACATTTGTTTCCTTTTTCCTCTGGTTAATTTGATGAGAGAAGAAGAATAAATAATCATCATATTTAGGTATTTGAGTTATTTAGAGCGTTACCAAGATTGATGTTTTGACAAAGCCACCTACTTTTAGTCATTATTAAGATGTTTAACGGACTCCAAAAATTATTAGTGTTGTCTGACTATTGAAAAAAAAAAAAAAAAAAAATTAGTGTTGTCTGGCTCAGGATTAAAAAGACATCGTCATAAAATAAGTGGCATGGTGATGCTTTCTGTTCACTCTTCATAATTTATGTTGGAATAGTTTAAATGAGGATTTGACCCTTATTAAGGTCCACTCACAGTGCCTCTTAACTAGGAATGGCAATGGGCAGGGATTTCATTTCGCATCTACATCTCATCCCCCATCCACATCTCCGGTTAAATTTTTTATCTCCATCCTCGCTCCCATACCCGTTTAATTTTCAACCCCCTCCCCCATTCCCGCCTCGCCCCACATAACATTTTTTAAATTTTAATTCACCTTCAACAAAATTAACAGAGTCATAATATTTTTCAACCTAATAATTAAATAAAGTTTCAGCACAATTATAATAATTTAAAACATGATCAGATGTTTGATGCACAACAACTATATTTTTTCTCTATGCTGCAAGTGAAAAGATTTAGGGTTTCACTTTCAGAAGTGAATATATTATATATATATAGTTATGTAATTTAGTAATATTTTGTAACATGTAAGGGTAATTTTGTAAAAATGTATTATAAACGGGCGGGGCGGGGTAACCCTCCTCCTGCCCCCGCCGGGGTTTCAAATATAATCCCCATTCCCTCCCCATTTACATAAATGAGTACCAAAACTCGCCATAAATAGGGCAGGGACCCGCTGAGTATGGAAATTTTGCCATCCATATTCTCCAACTTATCATTATATTATCCCATTTAGCTTTTATTAACTCATTAACTATTAATTTTTTTTTTAGTTGATCGTCTCCATCTGATTCCTTTTGAGAAGTGAAATGATCTGTGGGAGTGAGAGAGAGAGAGATATATATATATATATATATATATATATATATATTAAGCACCCTTGTAAATAAAGGAATGTGAAAATATTATATTGTATTTTATTTAATAAAGATTACATAAAGATCTTATACAGGGGAGAAGGTCTGGCGGTAAGAAATTGATAAATAAACAACTTATAGATACTAATATGGTAAATGTAATCATATATGATAATTAATAGATAAGAAATCTAGATGCTAAATAAATTAGTAAACTTGTAATCTAATAATCAGACTCTTG